CTTGTGACATCCTTATAGTCCTTCCAAGTTATCTGTCTCTCCTTCCAGAGATGATAGATTTTTTTTCCCCTAAGTTCCAGCCTAAATTTTCTGTTTAACCAGGCTGGTCTTTCCCTGACAACTTGTCTTTCTACACATGGGGACAACCTGCTCCTGAATATTTAACAATTCCTTTTTAAAGCATATCTAGCCTTCCTGGACACCTTTGCGTTTCAGGACTGACTCCCCAGGTACTCTGTCAATAAATGTCCTAAACAGGACAAAGACTGCCCACCAGAAGTCCAAGGTGGAATTTGGCAGACTTGTTAGGAACTATCTGTGCTGAATACAATATTGTATGTAAGCCAATGAACTTTTTTAATAGCTTTGTTTCATCTATATTACACCTAAGCTTGTCAAATCAGGCTTTCCTATTACTGTTGTCTTTGAGATCCTCTCTGAACTAGTTCCAAAGGTTTGGCATGTTTCCCTCCCAGCTGTTCTTGAACCTTAGGTGTATCAGAAAGAAAACTGATATGAGAGGAAGGATTCTGTTCTTTCATCCATCAATTCATTGATCCTTTTCTCAAAGTTAGTATCAGTGGAGTGTAATGGGATAGTGTCTTCACAGGAGCTTCACCTGTGATGAACCAAAAAAAGCCCCACAAAAAACTCCAATCACACAAACAAATACTAATTTGTTATACAAGGTACAGATCTTTAATCTGCAGACTTCAACCTGTTTTCTCAGGCAAATTTTACACAAGCAGCCATGATCAATGTTAATGCATTGGCATTTGCCCATTTGTTGTGAGAAAATAGGATTCTCTAAATCTAGTGGTAATTTCTTACTTCTCTAACTCTTGTTTTGATAGCTTGGTGTAGCTCTCAAAGCAAATTCTGCACCTCTTTTCTACCCCCCTGGCAAAATTAGTAAGTCAAGGTAGTAAGTCCTGTAAATGTTAGGCTGGTATAAAGGTGTTTGCGTCCCTGTGCTAAGTAACTTCTCCAGCTCAAGTGAAAACCTGATCATATTTTTTGTTGCGTTTTTCTTGTTTAGTCTTTCAGTGAAAATGTGAGTTAAAACAAATGTCAGGCTCATATCTATAGGGAAGATTTTGCATAACAATTCTATAATTTGAAAACTTTAATCTCCTACTTTAAAACAGATCAATGGGGTACTGTCATGGTTTACTAAAATTATTTTTTTGTTTCAGTCACAGCTCCAGCACTACAAATGTCTCAGAAAATGTAGGGGTAGACAGATTAAATGGAAGAAATGCTTGTGATTATAGGATGCAGGAAAAAAAACAAATGGAGGTGATTGCCTTGAATGTGGAGTTGGCAAACTTCTTAGTGGCTGTAGATTCTAAAAGATACGAAAGATTCAGTAGAAATGTTAGTGGCTCAATGTAATATTTCACAAATAAGCAAGTTGAATGTCCAACACCATTCTGTAATGATTTCTGTATAATGTGGGCTTTGACAAGCGTTATGCTATTTGCATTTCAGGTTTTATTTGCCATTTCTCTAGTGCTACCACTTCAGGTAAAGAGAAGGCTATCAACTGAACTTGGTGCCTTTTAAGCTCCTTCACAGTTCTGCTTTCTGAGACTGAAGAAGAAGAAAATTATATTTAGCAACTTCTGTATAGAGTTTCTGGTACTTCATATGTAAATATCTTTGAAGTGGTTCTGATGATGTGCCATTCACAAACCTGGGAATTGTGTAGAACAGTAATTGGCATGGCCCAGTGCTGGGGAATGTCCTAGCTGCTTTCTAGCATAAATGATCACGTTCCAGGGCATGGGAATATTTCCAGACAAGACTTAACTTATGAGTACAGATGTTAATCCTTGATTCTCCTAAATTCTTTATGGAATAAGGAATAGAAAGGACTCTTCACAAGGGGTTTTTGATGCTTTGGATGTAGGTTTAGGAGAGAATGCATCCTATTTATTTTGGGACAGTAATTCTGTACTCCTGTTTCCCTTTCAGAGGGTTTTAGTGGTTGCATTACAGTGGTTGTTTAAACATCTTTCAGAATGCAGTCACCTTTCCAGCACCACCTTTCTGGGATGAATAGATATGTTTGCCCTCTGTCAGGCTATTGCTTGCATATGAATGAACATATTGTGGTCTTTCATGGAAGTGCTGCGCATGAAGTATGCTTTTTAGGGTTGTGAGGAATTTCATTCTGATTTAGTGTGTATGTATGTGAATATTAAGAGGCCTTGTTTACTATCTGGGTGATATAGTGGGGGGACAGTCTTGCATCTCAGGTAATGGTTCTTTTATGTAAGCAGGAGAGTGGAGAGACCACTCTATTTCCTCAGATGTTTCTTCCAGTGAACAGTAAAAGCTATTTTGAGCTGACTTTATTGACTGTATGGGTTGATTTCCTGCAGGCTTTTCTGTGTTTGACTGTGCATTACTGGAGTTGAGTATAGTTATAGTGTAGATGAACTAGTAAAAGATTTCTATTAATCCTAACTCTAAGCAGACACATTCTGGAAGATAGCATGTCATGTAAGCTGCTGTATGTTAGAGCAGTTTTGCTCTAATTTCTAACTGTTCACTTTTTCTGTACCTCTTGGCCTGCCTTCCCTCCATGGTGTCCTGAGCTTCATTGTAACCTATGACTGTTGCAGTCACTTCAGGATTACATTTTTCGTTCTGTAGGTTATGAAATATGCTGTCAGCTTTGATAGTTTGAATATTTATAGATAGAAGAGGTTAGCAATATAAAATACTGTTCCTATTCATCATGCTTTGTCAGGAACTGTGAAATTTTACTTTTGCATGTGCTATCTTAAGTCTTGTGCAGCAAATGTGTGGCATGCCATGCTTTCACCAGTTATGCACCCCACAATTTTGGGAATGTGTAATCTGTAATAGTGTCAGCTTTGGAGCACTGCTTTGTATAAAGGATCCATTGCTCAAAGGTAATGAGCTGGCTGTGTCAATTAATATGCAGCAGGCTTTGTGTCTGCTGATTGTTCTTCTGATTTAATGTATATGATGGTCTGTCTTACAAGCAGCAGTGGTAAATATTTAAGGACACAGTACAGTGTTGGAATGCTCCCTGGCATCCCACAGGCGCCTTATGCATCTTCAGGGCAACTATTTTAATCATTACGCAGCTTCTGGCAGTCTACCATCCTAGAGACGTTTTAGGAATGTGAAAAAGAGAGGCTGTATGCTCTGCTGATATAGTGATGTTCAGGATCCCTCTTTGCCCACTTTCTAGAGATCTGTGATGCTGCCTGTGTCTGAGATAGATGTAACTTGTTCAGGAGAGTTGGCTCTTTGGAAGAGCTGGATCTAAATAAGAGAATAGGCCTTCTCATCTGACACTGCTGCTCTCTACTAGACAAATGTTCTCTATTACAATATTTTACTTGTGTCCGTAATCAGTAAAATGTCAAAGGCCATATTTTATGTAACAATTTTATTTGTGATAAATGCAGGCTGCTGTCCACAATTATAGTCTTATTCCTGATTCGTAGTGCTCATGAAGCTCTACAGTGAATAGAAGTGATATAGAAAAGTAACTCTCAAAAGTTAAATTTTCTGCCATGTATGTTCTGTGGTCAGATAGCCAGTTGATTGATTTGGGTTGCTGCTCAATTGCATGAACATTTCAGCCTCCCTGGAATGGCACTAAAAGTGAGGTGTTTGGGACAGGCAAGAAGGGGACAAGAACCATTAAGTCCCTTCATCAGTAGCCCACACTTATGTTTATGTCTTCTTGTTTCATAACACTACTGAATTTTCCCTGTGTAGAGAAGTGAAATAAAAATACCTACTTCTCATCCCTTAAGCACTCAATCCAAACTTGTGACTCTATCAGCTAAGTTTAGTAGTTTAAATTGCAACACCTATATTTAAAACCAGGAGTTTGGTGAACTTGGATTCTTTTCTTTCTGTTGCAACTTTTCAGAGGCTATTTATTTTAGAGACTGTAGCAGACAGTCAAACTTCAGGCTCTGTAATTAGGAAATAGAGATGTAAGTTGCTTTTGAACCAAATTCTCATAATTTTTGAGGTGCGAAGTCTAGTTGTATGTCGCTTGTATAAAAATAAATTGTCCATTTTTAGTGATCACAGAGCAAGTCTGTGATAGAGCTGAGCTGGATTTATGCTTCTGAGTCTGCTTTCTGTTTACAAACCCATGCTCTTTTCTTGCTTTGTTTAAATCTGATGTTGCCTTTAGTTTGTGCCTCTGACTGAAGGTTCCTTTTTCTTTACTGTTGTGATCTTGTCCTTGAACCAGTTTGGCAAAAAATTAGTTGTCTCTCTTTTCCTTCTTCTTGATTTAGCAATTAAAGCTTTGTTATCCTGTAGCTGAATCATAAAATGCTATACTGTAAAACTGTGTTAAACATTCTGTGTTTTGTATACTGTGGAAAAGAATATTTAGTTCTTTAATCAAGGAGAGTACAGAAAACAGTGAAAAGTATTAGCTATGATGTGCTTTTCTTTAAAGTCTGAATTTTCCTCTTTTGGGGAAAGCAGCAAGTTAGTATGTGCATGGAGAATGAGATTAGTGCTTAAGTGATGGTACCTGAAAGTTAGATTGTGACGTTCAGTTTCAGATATACATGGCATTTGTTTGAAGTCTTAGGGAAGCTTCTGTTTAAAAACAAACAAAACCCCCCCAAGAAACAAACCCAGAAACTACCCTTTAAAACAGAATTTTTTAAGAGCTAGGCTGAAGAAATTTAGCCTGTTTTAAGTGATGTTACAACTGTACTGGCTTCTTAAAAGCAGAGAACTTGTTCAACTTTTAAAAACATTTATCATTTACCTTGAATCATTTGTTCCATTTTGATAGCCTCCTTCATATAGAAAATACAGCATGCGATGTCATTCTAAATGCAAGTCAAACAATGCTCTATCTTCTATGTGAAAGGAAGTATTCTGTATGTTTTTCCATGTTTGACACCATAGTGTTTTGAATAACCATGTTCCATATTCATATCAATTTTTTGTTTTTGTTTTTAATTTATTATGCACAGCACTTGTTCAGAAATTTGGGGACTGAGTACACCAAACACGATAGATCAGTGGGATACAACAGGCCTTTACAGCTTCTCTGAACAAACCAGGTGAATATTCTGCCCTCTTGCATCATAGAAATCTTGTGGGAGGGATTTGCTTTGGAGGGTCTGTAATGGGATGCTTTAGCTGTAAAATAGACTAAAATGCTTCCTAGGCCTCTCATGGTACAGCATTTTAAGATATTTGCTTGCCAGTGTAGAAATCCAAGTGTTATCAGCTGATGTTTTGACCAATGAAATTCTAATTCTGCAATATTGATTTTTCATGACAGTGCTATTGAAAGAATGGGAAGACTTGTTAAATGCAAGCTCTAATATGATTTGGTATTTATATTAACGAAGTTGGGAAGCTTGATTCTTTAGACCTAATCTTACAAAGTATTTTAACTGCTTTGTATGTCAAAAGCTTTCAGTTAAATCTTGCTAATTGGCTCAGATATGAGCTACTAAAGAATTGTTTATAAATTCTTCAGTAGTTAATGGCAGGCAAATTCTAAACAGGGTCTTTATTTTTTCATGTCATATTACTTGATTTCTGTATTGAGGTTTGTCTCCCATCCCATAACAATCATAAACATCTGCATTTGTGTAAGCATATGCAGTCTGTCTTAAAACTAGCAAAATTATTTCAGTTGGTAATAAGGCAGATGAAGTCAAGAAGATAAACTGCACAGTCCTTAAAAGATGTGCATTCATGCTTTTTACATTGCAGTTATACTGCCATGTGGATCACTTGAGCAGCTGACTGCTTATAGGCTTATTTGCAGTCCTTTGGGAATTCTTAAAGCCATAAAGCATCTATGCCACAGCAAAGCTTTGAGGTTTAGTAGTGGGACTATTAAGTGTGTGATTTTTTTTTTTAACAACTCTCTTCTGCATTTAAAAAAATATATGAAGAAATCATCCTAAACACTTGGTTGAAGGTAAAGTGGCTTTTAATGAATTCTAAATTTAACTGCCAATGATTACAGCAACCCAAATACAAGTTAAGAGACTACTGATATGATCATTTTTATCACATTTGAAGCTTTTCAACAAGAGTATAAATGTCACTAGCAGTATCAATCCACTGAATTCTGAAAATCATTAAACTACCCATCCCATGTGTGTACACTCTTGCTTAAGTGGCTAAGAGCATGCATTCTGTAAAAACTTTTTAACATCTTTTCCCTCCAGATCTCTCGATGGCCGTCTACAGGTATCTCATCGTAAAGGATTACCACATGTTATTTACTGTCGTTTGTGGCGTTGGCCAGATCTTCACAGTCACCATGAACTTAAAGCAATTGAAAACTGTGAATATGCTTTTAATCTTAAAAAAGATGAAGTATGTGTAAACCCTTACCACTACCAGAGGGTGGAGACACCAGGTAGGAAGACTATTTCTGACTTTGTATAGCATCTGTATGCGCTTGATCAGCATGTTATAAGTGAAAAAGAGAAAAATGCTTTCTCTTGCCAAAAGTTCAAGATTCTTAGAGATACAGCTTTTGCGAAAACCACCCCTGATAGTTTTTAATAGTAAAGTTACTGAAAAATCTTTATGAATGTGGAGATATCTTTACTCCGATAAACATTTCCAGGACCTCTAGTAGTTTCCAGATGGCTAAATATGGCCCAGACTTAAAAGGAGAACAGAGATGATTCACCTTTGCTACTGTGGAATAGTCTTAGTCAAGAGGCACTTCAGGAATCTGTTTCTACCACTATCAGTGCAATCATAATACTAGCAGTACAGAGATTCAGAAAATTTCAAAACATCTGAAGATATTGTTAGATGGTTTAGATAGATATTTTTTCCTTTTAGCTCACAGAAGCGTGCATTTTGAGGGTCTTACCAATGCTTTGAATTTTGCTTTTCCAGTCTTGCCTCCTGTACTAGTGCCACGGCACACTGAGATTCTAACAGAACTGCCACCTCTTGATGACTATACCCTTTCCATTCCTGAAAACACTAACTTTCCAGCTGGAATTGAACCACAGAGCAATTACATACCAGGTATTTTCTTAACTTTCACTGTAAACAGTATGTTTGACACTGTGCCGCTGAAACAAAGATGATAATTTTATGCTCCTAAGTGATCAAATTAATTGCAAGATGTGCCAATAAGTTAGATCTAGTTGATTTTGTGTATTAGTTCCAATGGAAATACCTGAACATTGCTGTTTGCAGAACACAATCCTGTGTGAAATGAAATTGCTTACTTGGTTTCAGTAGCTTATTTAAGATTCAGAATGCTAATGAGTGAAAAACAGACCTTTGTCTTATGCTTTTAATCTGTTTTACAAGCATATAGGGGTTGCCAAATGCTGTGTGTTGGAGATTGAGAAACAGTTTACTACTCAGTCTCACCAGATGTAGTTTGTGGAGAAAACTATAAGTTGCAAATGAGTGACTTAGTGTTTTGATCTGCAGTCCACAATTGATCAAGGTCTGCTTTGTGTGTTTACTATTGTGTGCACAGTTTTGTCTTTTTAGTATGAAAGAGCAACCTAACAATATTGAAATCAAAGAATTCTTTCTTCCCCTTCTTTGCCCCTTCCCCACCCCAAGACTACCCTGCTACAGTGCACCCAAAACCTGGTACTGTTACTGAAACATAAAATCAGTGAACTTTGTTTCCTGCCCCAATTTTGTGCTTCCTATCCCTTTAGGAAGTTGCCTGGAGTGTAAAACCAAGTAAAGCTGAAGCTTTCTCATAAATGTTTAATGCAGCTATGTTATGAACAAGCTGAAAATTCAGATCTAGACTCTCTTGAAGAATAAAATTACTTGAAACTCAAATATGTGTAATATAGAAATTGTATCTATGTGTCTTAAACAGGTTATTGTTTGTGTTTTCTTTAAATGCATCCAAGAATTGAAATGGCATTAAAAATGTAATAAATTTGTTCTCATCTGTTTAATCTGGGCCATGTTTGTTGTCACCTAGGGACAGCAGATCTTTAAAGAGCAATTTAAGGGGATAGAAATTGGTGCTGCTTTCCTAACTGATGCATGCCTTTTTTGACTCCATCTGAGGGCTTTTGATACCATTTCCTAACAACTTACTGGAAAGCTACCATTTGCAAATCCAGTGCTATGGAAATGAGCTAAAGCAGCTAGGTAGTTACTTGCAGGAAGTATGTTCAAGGTGATTGTGGGTATTCACATGATTTTCAAATGACTGTGCAGCTAACCACACCTTGCATCCTTATCTTTGTCACCGACACCCTCCTGTTATATTAATGGCATCTTACTTTATTTGACCTGGCTGACTTAATCTTGAACACTTAGCTAGGTTCTGATAAATCTTGTGTGTCTTGACGGCCTGCTTCAGAGAACCATTTTCTTTAGCAGTAGGCCAAACTAAGACTGTGGTAGCTTTGCACCACAATACTGTCTCAGTACATGGTCTACAGAGAGGTTGGTTTCACTTACAGCTTACAGCTGGGAAGATGGCAGTCGTGAAGGTGCAGGATGGCTCTTGGGGCTGTATGTTCCATTAATACTACTACATGGAGGAAATCTCTATTCAGACAGAGATTAGTTATGGAAAATAATCTATTCCAAAGACTCTAGATTATCAACTGGAAACAGGAAGTGTGAGTTGGATTGGAAATGGTAATTGACCTTTTACCATGGCTGTGGCCTTTATAATGAATGATTTGGAGAAGGGGGGAGTCCACTTTATCACAATGAATTCAATAAAAATGTTCAAAATTAGTATGATTTTTGTTATCATAATTCTTGATAGTGAAGATTTCCTTTAATCGTCCTTTTAAATTCTCATTTGAATTTTGTCACATCTATATTTAGCTCACTAGTTTTACAGAGTGAACCAAGGATAATTCTTTTGGTTAATTTTTTTTAATCAACTGACTTAATCTAATTTCCTGTCGCTGACTTCCTTCTGACCTTAATATATTGCTGTAAATCTCAGACATGATATTTGATATAACTTGATTTTAATTCTTGGGCAAAAAGCTCTTAATTTCTGCTGTTTGACAGTAATGTAATTAAATGTACTTAATCCCTCAGATGTCTCAGAGACAATTCTAAGGTGATTGTAGACATAGTTATCTTCAAACACTTTCACTAAAGCAATCCAGGTTTTGCCTTTAATATATAGAATCATAGAATATCCTGAGTTGGAAGGGACCAACAAGGATCATTGAAGTCCAACTCCATATAGGAAAAGATATTTGCCCAGTTCAAAGAAAATTATTTCCTGAAAGGCAGTTGGTTAACTTATCTGGATTACAAAGTACCTTTTGAATGGAGAAAAGGAACATGCATACTCTTCTGGGTTTTGAAGATATTTCTGTTGAATCAGGCAAAGTTTCTAGTATCAGAATGCTTCAAACTTGTTTCTGAGTTTGCTTTGGTTACTGAAACTCCATCTTTAAAGAAAGCTAGTTAAAAGAATAGATGATTGTTTTAATAGAGCTTGGAAGTAATAATGATAATAGAGCTTGTGCAGTGTAACTAGTTAAATAATATAGTTGTTATTATTGAGTGAAATTTTTAGATAATGAAGGAAAATGGATTTGGGAATTGAACTGAAAAGTAACCTTCAAATCTATAAGGCATGGGAGGGTATCTGACCTGATGGTTATAGTAAATTAAGACAGCTCACGTGATTTTTTTTTTTGTGCAAGTCACCAGATGTGGGGTTTTTTTTATTTGTAATTCTACTAAATGTGAAAGCTGTTGATCACAATTACAAAACTGTTACTTATTCTAGTGAAAGAGTCTTGTCTTAAATGGAAAAGACAAGTATTAACACATTTGAACAGTTGACTGGCATAAAAGAGATTATACATTTTGCATAGACAAGGCAAGTAATGTGTTTGAAGACCTACTGGAAGGAGAAAGGGATGGCAAAATGACATTCTAATAAAGTATTTAGGTATTGAATTAAGCTCATGAGGACTTGAGAACAAAAACTCAAAATGCTAAATTGTACAAATTTCCTCAGTCATTGAACCATTAGGTGTTTTGTTGTTTTTTTTTTTTTTTTACAGAAACACCACCTCCAGGATATATCAGTGAAGATGGAGAAACAAATGACCAGCAGTTAAACCAAAGCATGGATACAGGTAACTGCTTTCAAAACTTGGAATCACTAGCTGTGATCCCTCTGCATAGCAACATGAATTCAGGCTAAAAGATGATGGCAGTTTTCCTCTGTACAACCTGGTGTTTTCTGTTTAAAATATCACTTTCAGTCTTTAGTGAACAAATTAATATTTTGTTAGGGGAATGCTTTTAAAACGTTCTGTGCCATATTAAGTACATTACATTTGTTTTATAATAAAAACATACAGATCTAATTAAGTCATCATCAAATTTTAATAGCTGATTTGTTTTAACCATCTCCAACTTTACCTTCTGGAAACAGGTTCGTTGAAGCAACATGTCTGTTGGCCTAAACAAGTTACAGATATGTTAGCAATCTTTTTCAGTTAGTTGGGATCAACTGCACCAGTTTCCAAAAGAATTGCAATATTTTCCCACTATGTGAAAATGGCTACCTTTATTTAAAAAGCCTGATATCAGCAATCATTGTAGGAATGATTCTGTGCAAAGCCTCTTTGTATTTTGTCTACAAATGCACAAATTGTGTTGAGGAGTTCATGTTTTTCTAAACTTTTTCCTTCCTCCTTCCAGGAAAGAATAATCTCAAATGAGGAAATCCAAGTTGTTCTTCTAGAGATAAACCCTCTCCTTTCAGAATAGAGACAATATCTTGCTTGTCTCGTCCACTTTTTCTTAGCTTTTTTTCCACTGAATTTGAGAAGAAGTCACTACCTTCTTACTGGGCTGAAGCACCTCTCTTATGAAGACAGACTGAGAGAGTTGGGGTTGTCCAGCTTGGAGAAGAGAAGTCTCCAGGGAGACCTTAGGGCACCTTCCAGTACCCAAAGGGGCTACAGGAGAGCTGGAGAGGGACTTTGGACAAGGGCATGGAGTGATAGGACAAGGGGGAATGGCTTCAGACTGATAGAGAGTAGAGTTAGATGGGATATTGGGAAGAAATTCTTTCCTGTGAAGGCGGTGAGATACTGGCACAGGTTGTCCAGAGAAGCTGTGTCTGCCCCATCCCTGGAAGTGTTCAAGGCCAGGTTGGATGGGGCTTTAAGTAACCTGGTCTAGTGGAAGGTGTCTCTGCCCATGGCAGGGGGATTGGAACTAGATGATCTTGAAGGACCCTTCCAATCCAAACCATTCTATGATTCTGTGACAAGCACATACATAAAGTTATGTTTACAGATTGAGCATGAAGTGAAAGTTCTGCCAAATACAACACTAAGATGTTAATTAGGTTTATGAGGTGGGGTAGGGTCCCATGAGTCTGGAAAATTAAATGCAGTCTTAATTCACAATAAGTGTGTGATATGCTGGAAAAGTGGTGTTAGTATTTCTGAGGTTTCTTATTCTGAAGAATTTCAATGTAAAACTATATCTAGATAATGGTTATTCCTACTTATCTGAAATAATGAGAGTCATTTGCTCTCAAACAATCTGTATTGCTTCAACAGGATCTCCAGCAGAGCTGTCTCCTAGTAGTCTTTCTCCAGTTAATCATAGCCTGGGTAAGCTGGAAATTCTTGTAATTGTTTCTCTGTGTGATGACTCTTCTTTATGTATATATTACATTTAAACTGAAAACATACTTAAAAAAAATTAAGAACTGTATTAGGAGGAGACTATTGGGTTGGCTTCCTGATGATAAACATGATAGGGCTGGGTAAATAACTTCTTAACTACTACTCTATTTCTGTAACCATTGAGTTCCTAGCAAAGAGAAAGAATAATATGGTTGTGTGTGCAGGACTAGTGTTTAGAAAATAGTTTAAAGGATGTTAGCCAATACATAGTGCTGCCCAGACTTGCTGACTCCCTTGTATATATGTTCTGCTACTCTTCTCATGTACTGTTTCACCTGTAACCGCAACACAATCATTGCTCCCACATTAGTTGTCCACCTGCTTTGATGAGGTGCCATTGCTGTGTATTTGTATAAATGCCTCAGGAAGATCAGATTCCCCTGGGTTTGTTTAAGGAATGATGACAGAAAAATGCTGTTTAGAATGCTTAGTAAGTAATGAGGGTAGGTAAAAAGGGCAAGCAGCTCAGGAAAAGTTGAAGATGCACAGGGAAGATATTGAGCTCTCGTAGGGGAGAGTAAAAGGACCTTGGAACTGCTTTTAGATAGAGATGGTATAAGATCTAGTGTAATATAAGAAAATATAATTTTCATATTAATATTTTTCCCTTTGTGTGGTTCAGTGTTTGATAGTTTAATCTTTTCTTTAACATTGTCAAAATGTTTGTAAGTTATAGAAAAGCAACGGAAATGTCTCAACATCTGGCACTCATAGCAGCATTAGTTTTTTGCCAAGCAAAATGCAAGTACTGAACTAAATGGGCTGTGGTCAGATTAGATCACCCCTGTAAGAATCCGCACACCCCCTCTTCCCCTCCTTCTTCCTTTGTGTGAAAATCTAAATTCCATTATGTTTACTGGAGTAGGTAAAAATGACAGCAAGTAAAATATAATTTGCAGAAACTAACAGCTGTTGTTTCTGGGAGAGACAAATAGCAGGGCAGATAGATTTCTTTTCAGCCTTGAATTCTGCATTAAGCTTGTTTTATTTCTTTTTTTATAGACTTGCAACCAGTTACTTACTCGGAGCCTGCGTTTTGGTGTTCAATAGCATATTATGAATTGAATCAGAGAGTGGGAGAAACCTTCCACGCATCCCAGCCTTCTCTGACTGTAGATGGCTTTACAGATCCATCAAATTCCGAACGATTTTGTCTAGGTTTGCTTTCCAACGTAAACAGAAATGCTACAGTGGAAATGACAAGGCGACACATAGGTAAAGATCTCTGATCTTTAATTTCATTTTAGACGTTAAATTATCTGGAATGACCTAGGTAGGATGGGCAGATCTGTGTTTTGGGTTCCTTTCCCCCTTGTGCAGCCAGCCATAGAACTTCTCCCTTGGGGCTTGCAAAGAGGAGCTTGATCTCTCTTGCTAAGGACAGAAGTGGAAAAATAGAGAGGTCGCTGCTTCTGAAATTGAGGAGAAATATAGCTGCTTCTGTTACCACAGCCTGTTGCAATTGGGAAGAAACGTAGTGATGGCTACAGCTGAAAGGATCTCCCTTTCTTCAATCAGTAGTCACTAAGCTGATGGCAGCAGCAGTCACACAACTGTCAGGATGCAAGCAGCACAGAAGGAAGCCACTCAACTGTAGGGGTTTCTGTTGCTCATGTTGCTGTTCTCTGCCTTCTGGAAAGAGTTGACACACCAAAGTATCCCAAGGGGCAGATTTTTGGCTTTCAGGCTCCTCATTGGACTGCTCTGCCCTAGGTAGCATTTATATTCGGAGTTGCTTATAATTGAAATTAAGCTTTAATTGCAAAATATTAGCATGTTGCTTAGTTTATTCTAATTTATAAAATGCAGCATGAACATTGGTAGTACTTGAATGCTTTTCTGAAATGGGAAAAGCTGCAGTTAAGATAACATGCTGTTTTGACATCATTAAGATTTTCTTTGTAATGGTTAGTAAAGAATATTGTTTTCTATAATGTTTCATTGATGAAGAGAGACGGGGAAGACTGGTTCGGTGATCAGAATCTGATTTATTGTGGGATACAAACACTTATATACTGTTTTAGGGAGACTAGTAATGTGAAGTACAATGATTAGGTTAAAATCACAATCACAAACTTACACATATTACAACATCTCTTGCTTGCAGAGTTTAATGAGATTTTCTTTTTCCGGTAAACCTGCCTGATTTAATCTTCTTGCAATCTAGATCTAATTTTCAAAGTTCTGTTTGCTTTTGCCAAGGTATTTTGTTTATCAAATCTCATGCTAATAAGGTCCAAAGTCCATCATCTGTCTTGTGTCCCCCAACATCCCAACAACAATGCAGTGTCTTTGCTTTAGGTTCTTCAATAAACTAGCCTTTTTTTTTTTCTGAATTCTTTTATTTAGCAGTATTCATTAGGTTTTTTGGTTTGATTTTTAGTAAAAATTTCAACTTCTTTAATAGAACCTTCTGATTGCCTCTATGCCAAATCCAAATGCTTGTCTAATAAAAATTTAGATGTGCAGAAGCCCCGGCTATACCTGTGCTAACTAATCAAAATGACCAGTGATGAGGAAAAGCAAAAATGTAAGGAACTCTTACTTTTTTTAATAGACCAATTCACATTTTGTTTGAAAAATTGTTTTAAAGGGGAAATAGGAACTATGGCCTTTAAAGAACCTGTTAATTATAAATAGCTTTCTTTGAGAGCTCAATTGTACATTACTTATCTTCTGCTAGAAATAAGCCATACAAGTTTTTTACCACTCTGAGAGAGAGAACAAAACCACAATTTAAAAGTGAACAATAATATTTCTTAGAGTTTTTGTAATAGGGCTGAATGAAGTCCTGTTGATTTTGCTCAAGTACTACAGAGAAAGGGTTATGCAGTGGGTTGTGAAATTGTATGGGTGCATGTAAGCAAAGAGTGTTGAAGTGGTACACTGTGTTTTCCTTTTTTGCCATAGTGGTCTGTGCTCCTTCATATACAAAACTTTAATACTAGCACAAGTTTTAACTCTGTTAAACCTAATATTTTTGATTCTGGTATTTCTTTAACTAAAAAATTATTTGTAATCAACACTGCTTTCTAATTTTGATTGGGTTATAAGCCATTACATGGCTAGAAAATTCTATCTCACTCTTGACCAAAAATTATTCTGCTTCTCCTTCAACTATTTTGAGTTCGTGGGAGGAAAAATGCAAGTTAATTGTGTTCTGCTCCCGCTACAGCTGTCAGCCCAGCAGTGTTGTCCTGTAGATTATTTATTTCTGTTTCTGTTATAAAGAAAAACTGTGGCCTTCTCTGAAACAAAATCCTCTCTTGTTTGTTAATCTTCTTGGGTCATATCATAACTAAAGTTCTTTTGAATTTTGCTGCAGGAAGGGGTGTACGTCTCTATTACATTGGTGGAGAAGTTTTTGCTGAGTGCTTAAGTGATAGCGCAATTTTTGTTCAGAGCCCCAACTGTAATCAAAGATATGGCTGGCATCCTGCAACTGTGTGCAAAATTCCACCAGGTTAGTAGCTTACCAAAGGTATTGTGTAAAACTATTCAGTGAATGTATTCATTGGACATTTGATTTCCTTTTCATAGTTTCTTCATAGTTTTGGGTTTCTGTGTAGCAAACACAAATATTCACTGATTGATTGTACTCTTTGGACTTTTTTTCTTTATAGGATGCAACCTAAAAATCTTTAATAACCAAGAATTTGCTGCTCTTCTGGCTCAATCTGTGAATCAAGGTTTTGAAGCAGTTTATCAGCTTACTAGAATGTGTACCATAAGAATGAGTTTTGTTAAAGGATGGGGAGCTGAATACAGGTAAAAAACTTTAAGTTTTCATTTGAAAGTTAATTTTCCTTCTTTTGCTAATCCACTATTTCTGTCTGGTTTGAAAGCTGTACCTACAGGCTTCTTAGTGCTACTGTAGACATGCTGTCTGCAAGTTGAACCCCATATTTTCCTTTTTCTCCCTCCTCAGCTATTGAGTTTTTAAGTTATAAAGACCAGAAATTGATTTTAGTATTATAGTCAGCTGTTGAGCAAGGAATGTTGTCAAAGTTGTTTCTTCACTTGGTTCTGCTTGCTTGCTTATTATGGCAAAATCACTGACAATATCTAGAAGTTTCACAGTTTGTGCAGAGAGATTATTTGCTGTTTGTTAGATGTACAGTAATTTTGGTCTCTGTCCTGTTCTGTGTGGAGTATAATGAGTTCATTAGGTTGTGGTGAGGGATGCAGTTGACAGTATCTTACAGAAAGAACTGAAGTCATTTGGAGTGCATTCTGCAGAATGAAACAGTTGGAGAACATGCATTTAAGGGATGACAAATATTTTGGAACTTGGAAAAAACTTTGTGGGAGTAAGATGACTGTGTTTATATAGTAAAACAGCTAAAACTTTTTTTGAGTGGAAAAAATAGCCTTTTATCTGCTTTTTGAATAGATTCCAATTATATTCTTTATTTAAACAAATTCCTTAAACGTCTCTAGAAATTGTTCCCTGGAAGAATGAAGTCTGACATATCAATACCCTATTGTAATACATAATGACTTTTTTAAAATCCATATAATTTCTGAAGTTCAATAATGGTGTGTCGGTTCAACTGTGAATCTTGGGGATTTGTTTCTTTTATCTGCTCTTGAAATATACACATGTAAATAGCAGTGTCATTATGTGGGGGGAGGCTTCTCAGATAAATTAAGCCAATTTTGTAGAAGTATAATTAGATGAAATGAGAAAATTGAGTAAGGGAATAAATTGGTACCTCTTTGTTAGTAAGAGATACGCAAAAAAAAAATGTAGTTCAAGTTTAAAGAACTATTGCATTTGTCAGGAAAATTAATCCACAAACATCAGAGGTTTATGTCCAAAAAGGAGACAGAGGAGTCCTTTTACTTTATTCGAATAAAGGGAGAGGCCATGGGGTGTTCCCCTGGGATCTCTCAAATTTTTAGAGGACGCACCCTCCTTTTTATCCTAATTTCCCGGCCGCATTTCCCTTCTCTTTCCCTATTGGCTGAGGTACTTGAGAGGTACAGACTTCCCGGAATGCCTGATACTCAAGATTTCCCTCTAATGTATAATCCTCCTTTTAAAATTTTTAATTCTTATGGAATTTAGTGTTTTCCCCCATTGTTTCTTTCATCTTTCAATATCTAATTTCATTTATCAGCAAACCTACAGTTTGTTTGTAAAGGTAAATATCTTTGTCCATTCATCAATCAGTGGAATCCTTCCCATTGTTTCTTTTATCTCTCAGTGCTAGTTTTATCTACCAGCAGACCCGCAGTTCGTTTGTAAAGCCAAATCCGTCATTCCTCTCAATCCCTCATCTTTTATTTTTTTTAAAATAATTGTCTTTACAAACTTTAGTTATCATGGACCTAATTTCCTGTTCCTGAGTCTTTTTTGGTTTTACAATTATTTGCAGTGACATCAATTTCTGTCTTTTTGTAGCCATCTCTGGATCAGTAGGCATGGCTACTACCTGCATTCCTTTGATCACATGTTGAATAAGTTGTACTAAGCAAAGGATCATGCATGGTAAAAAGATTAGAGTTGCTACAACACATAAGAGGAAGAAACGCATTTGTTTAACCCATAGTCCACCAGATAAGCACAAAAACATGTCCCATTTCCATCCTTTCCATGTTTGGACCGGTACATGAGCTAACTTTCTTATTCTTTTTGTTATTTGTTTCACCACCTTTCCATTGCCATCTATGTGCAAGCAGCAGTTTGAGTCATTTAAATTGCCACACACTCCCCCTTCTTCTGCTAATAAATAGTCTAATACCATCCAATGTTGAAATATTGCATTTCTCATCTGAGTAGATTGGTCAGCAAGGAGGTCAAGAGCTGTAGCTGTCTGGTTCATTATTACTTCAAAGACAGCTTGTAACCTAATTATCTGATTTAAATTATATAAGGGTTCTCTGGCACCTGATATTAATTAGGATTCCATGTGTCTGATCCATAGTGTTGTATAATTCGTTCAGGTGGCCATTCATCTTCACCCCACTTTTGGGTGCTCCTTCCAGCCAGGGATACATCAATTGACTGCTTTTCTCTAATTAAATCATCATGCAACTTGATTCTTAACTGATTTCCCTGAGCTTGTGGTAGCAGAAAGAACAATGGTCTAATATACCTTTGCATAACATATCCCTGACCGGTTTGGGGGTAACCTGCGGTAAGCATATTGGCCACAAATCCAGTAATGCCCTTTTAAAGCCCAGGTCCCATTGGCAAAGGGACCTTTCCAATTTACATCATAAATTGGTGGGTCAAAATACAGCTTGCTTCCTGGGCTTAGTGGTCCCCCAACAATAGTTGCCCTGATGTAAGAATCACAGTATTTGCATTTCCAAGCTCCCACATGAGGTTTCCACCTGCAGTTACATCCCAGATCTGTTTGTTAGATCTGGACCAGAACCTATTAAAAAGGGTTCAAGTTCCGTTCCGGTGTTGCCACTTCCACTGATAGTCACAGAAAACATGTGTCCTACTTGTGGAATTATCTTGAGGGCAGCTTAAAAATAAGGGGTCAAAAAACTTATCCTTCCCCACTGCTTTACAGACTTCAAAATCCTTCTGGTAATTATGGAAGGAACACCTTACCCAACTAACATTAGTGAGCTTAACATGCATTTGATTCCATCTGCCTTGATATCTGGAACAATCATAAGGTGAGCAGTTGGGGGTCCCACAATCTAAACCCAAAGATAAAGTCCAGTCACAAATACTTTTTCCCACGTATGTCTCCTGTTCTATTTAGACAATAAATGCCTCTTTCAGAAGAATGAAGCTGCCATGGACTTCCTTCTTCATCCCAAAATCCTGTTCAATTATGGACCTCACTCAGGATGCTAACCCACCATTTAGGCTCGACTGGGCGGGCCACTCATGGCCAGCTTTCAGATCCCCCTGGCCCTCCACAGACCCAACAATTGCTAAGGTTAAAGGTTTTTGCTACTCCTTCTCACAAGGTTAAAAAATTATTTTCCCACTTTTGGCCCCAACCTAACTGACAATATAAGGGTAAGATTATTAAGAGAAACATTCTAATGGTGTAATCTAATCTCCTAACCTAATTTTCACTTTCACGTTGTCTTCCACACCACCTGTGGCGAGAGAAGGCACAGAAACAGCTTAACATAAAGAAAACAATGACAGCAAGGATTGGCCCCCAATGACTGGAGATCCGAAAGGAGGGATGCCCACAGAGATTATTTCAGCAGGCAGTCTGTGGATAGGCACAAAAGGCTTCCCCCGATGTCGACGCACTGGGTACTGCTCCAGTCCACTCCTGTGGAGTGTCAGTAGCAGCTTCCTATCCTCCTCCAGCTGAGATGTCCTAATCTCCGGGCCCTCAGAGACCTTGACCCGAGTGTGATGGGTCCACCCATGTTCAGCTGTCTTGACAGCTGTTTCTGTGGTCAGCAACACCTGGAAAGGTACACGGCACTTCGCCACCAGGGGTGCTTCTTTCCACTCCTTAACTAGGACCCAACCTCCTGGCTGAATGTTGTGAACAGCAAAGTCCAAAGGCAGGGTCTGTGCCAGCTGAGCTTCCTGTCAAAGAGATTTCACAAGAGACAGTATCCAGGCCACATATTGTTTCAAATACATATCACTTATCTCTATCCCCCCCACTAGGCTGAGAATTACAAGGGTAAGGAATTCCAAACATCAATTCAAAGGGAGATAATTTAATATCTCCCCTGGGTCTGGCCCTTATTCTTGCCAAAGCCAGTGGCAAGAGCCACATCTTAGTTTCTATCACCAGCTTCGGGAGGTGTTTCTTTATTTCTCTATTCATCCTTTCAACCCTGCCCAAACTCTGGGGGTGCCAGGGGGTATGGAGGGTCCATTGTATCCCTAAAGCAGTCACAACTTGTCGCTGTTGTATTAGGGATGGATGAATTAAGCGACATAGATTCCTATGGTCTCAGAAGGCAAATGCAGACTTTATTAGCCATCACATTCTTTTATAGACAGTTCCGACAAAGCTGGACCTGATCAGTCCTTAATCAACACCCCTTACATCATTGGCTAATTAGGAACAACACCCTTCTTGTAAACATCTTACAACTAAATAACACCATCTGCAAAGATTAAGGATTGTTTTAATTCTTTCTCTGAACTCCCCAGAGTAAAAATGGGGAAATAGGATGATGGGTGCTGCTGCCTATTATCTGTTCCAAACAAACCTTTCCTGTAGGTTGAGTTAACATTCAGGCAATGCAGTCAGATTCACACACAACACTCACTACAGCTGTCTCAGTGAGAGAGGCAGAAGGCTCTTTGCAGGATTTTATTCCAGCAAGGTTAATTACATGTGGTGGCTGAAGGAAATCCAGGCGAAAGAGCGAGAGCACATGCTCTGGACAGCTTAAGAAGGGGAAGGGGGAGGGGGTGCAGAGCTAATGGCAGGGCAAAGGGGATTGGTCTCCAGGTGAGAGGGGGCAGCCACCAGGGGTACCCAACCAATGAGGAAACAGGGAAAGGAGAAATATAGGGATCAGTGAGACAGAGGTCCATGGGGGAATTTTGTCTTTTCCCACAGGAAGAATGAAATCTATGGTAAGTCTTTCCAAGGCAATTTGCTTGGGAATTGGCTGAGGAGAGAGAGTTCATGGGATGCTACACTAGAGCAATGCCTGGGAAAGTTTATCTGACTTTGACCAGACTGTCAGCATCCACAATTCCTCCTTTTTGTTTTAAAAAAGAAGGTGGCATTTGTAAACCCCTGCAGGGCCCTTTGCAGGAAGGAGAACAAACACAGCTCAAGAGGCCCCTTTAGTAATTTGCCAGT